TAATTGAATTTATTTCCGGCACTTTTGCTGTCCGGAATTCTTCCAACCACATGACCAAGGCGCACCTATGCTTTTCGAATTTTTATGAAATAAATATTTTTTCTACGTAAAAAAAAATTATATAAAGTCATGGCATTAAAATTATTTTTATAAATGACATTACAAAATGACAAAAGCTATCTATTGTTGACATTATTACCTAATCAATATCAAAACTGTAAAATCAAAATTTCTGTATTACGCTGTTTAAATTATGTTACAAATATTAAAGGTGTTAATATTTATAATGATAAATTATCTGTAAAACAAGTATTTTATGTAAAATATATATTTTTTATATATATGTAGAGTGGAAAATTACTATTATTTAAGTGCGACTTATCTATTATTACTGTATAACTAATCAGGTTCTTGCACTGCTATTGTCATGAACCCTAATTACATTATGAACATGCTATATAATGATATAGCCTATTTTCGTTCCGGCTGTAATTTCTTTTTGAATACATTTTCCATGCAAAGATATAATGGCTAATTTAGTATTAAGCTACAACATATTTACTTAGTAATCATGAGCGTGCAATTTGTTAGAAACTATGAATAGCAAATTTGAACTAATGTATTTAAAGCAGATATCCTAACATTTATAACCTAGAAAGCATGATTGATAACAAACAGATTCTTTATGTTTTCTAATTAATAATAATAAAAAGTGTTATAACTGAAGCATTCAAAATAACACTTTTGGAATTTATTTTATTTGTGCTAATTTAACAGAAGAGCTTTTTTAAACCAGTATGACGGGAATGAACATGAGTTTTAAACTTGTTATGTGATTCTTTGTCATTTATTTTAAATGACAATATGCCCCCGTTGGTCACGATTTTTAATATTCCAAATTTGGGCAATTTCAAAATTATAACTACGTATCGATACGTATTAAAAAAAGATTATCAAACACTATTAACATGTTAGATCAGACGAAACTTTTAAATTCACTAGTCGTGAATTATACTCTAAATGATAATACTGTCGATTCTTTTGTACCTTTTATTCTTGAAACTATAACACACTATCAGTTACTGGTCACAGAGAAGGTTAATAATGCAAAGCAAGAAATCAGCTTGGCAGAACAAGGTCCAATTCATAAATGGTGTACACGTATTAATTCCTTGCTGCAGTCCAAAGTTAATGGTGCGAAATGGGCTGGGGTTTCTTTTGTGAAAATTTCTATCCAACAATCTGAGACACTGTTTACTCAGAACTTACAATCATGGTCCTCTGCTTTATTAACTTTGCTAACGGTTAGTTATTGTTGAAAGAAAAGGCCTCTGTTCTTTATTCAGTTATTAATCTCCATGTTATTCTCAGCGACCGGAATCAACTCTTATTTTGTCCGATGTCATTTTGACACTTTCTAATATGTTTGGAAAAACAATTAACAAACCTGAGTTACAAAGGGAGGTAACTTCACACCAACTTCCTCGTTTTAATACGACACTCTTAAATCTATCTGAAAATAAAGAACTTTTGGTAAATATTATCTGTTAACTAAAAAAATTTTATGTAGTCACATCACTTTAACT